CTCATTTCCACTTTAGATATGGTTCGTCCGACGGACGATGATCGTTCTGATTCTGGATCGGGAATGGATGACGATGAGCCAGCCACCACCTCTCCCCCCATGTTCCCTAGACGCCACCGTGGCCCAACTTCTCCTCTTGGTCGTGAATCCAGAGAAAAAAGGAAACGTCGCAGCACGTCACCGGGAGATCGGTTCAAAGCTAGATTGAAAACATCCGAATTTGCAGACCCCAATGAAAGTGGAATATTGGCATCCGGCTGGGACGGTAACCTAGAAGATGAGCATAATCCTTTCAGGACAGGCAGTGTAACATCTGGCTCTAGCTATTATCGAGGAAAGCGTCGCAGCATTTTGGATGTCGTTGATAAAGGTATCATATCTGAAGAAGAAGCATTGCAGCTATATAACATGTAAGGCACATCAGATTTTCATCAATGTTCGTAGAATCTCACTGTAGTCTGCAGCTACTTTTCAGGATGTTATCGGCTTTTGGTAAGCGCTTTGACGAAAGGCATAATGTGATACTAATCACTTCGTTAGGCTGTCTTTGATCCAACTGTTGACACGTTTCCCGAAATTCGTCGGAGGTCTTCCTTCCTATTTGCCTCGCTGTTGACTGTCGCTGCAAAGGTCAGGGATGGACCTCAACCCCCTTCAGAGACCCAACTGGCACTCCTCAAGGAAGCGACTGATTTAGCGAAGGAGCGGTTATTTGAGTCGACAGGAAAGATCGAAGATGTTCAAGCATTACTGCTCTTGGCAGGATGGAGTCACTCGATGGGTGGTGTAGGTTGGTTGACTGCTGGCCATGCAATCAGGTTAGTGATTTGATCACTCAACCCAAGTGTACCGAATATTAACTCGCCTAGCAGGGTAGCGGTTGAGCTTAATATCAACAAAGCCCTACTGCGCCTCGAGAAGCGGATGCTTGCTGGTGTACCCCAAGAAAGCGACAGAATGCTTGTTCAGGCCGCTAGAACATGGCTTGCACTATATGTATTTGAAGTAAGGTTCTCACTTTCTCCATCCTAGGAACGGAACTGATGCCATCTGTCTGCAGTATCAAATTTCATTTGGAACTGGCCGTCCGGCGATGATGCGTAGTGATGGAGCCATAATGAAAGCAAAACAAGTACTACTTAATCACTCGCTCAGTCTTCCTACAGACGCGCGGCTTGTATCCACGTGCGATCTACTTACGCGTCAAAGTGAGCAACGTTCTGACATGTATTGAGGACTCTGAAATTTACGCGTGTCGCATCAGGCGTGATTCATGAGCGATTGGGCGAGATAGAGGAATTCGATGATGACCCTGGCGTATCTGAAATCCTCGAAGAAGCTAGAAGCAACATAGATTCATGGCTCGACGAATGGGACCGCTACATGAGTCAGCTTTCGATCTCGATACGTTCCTTTATGCACGTCTGACTGTTGTCTCACTCGCAGGTACAACTCAAAATCCAGAGGGGTTTTTCCGAGCATCTGCCTCAATACAGCGCTCCTACGCACACTTATTCTATAACTGCATTGTACTCAGAAATCTGAAGTCGCCAGCCGATATCAAGACACTCTCGCCTCAAATGAAGGCAGTAGCCATGCATGCAATCACGTCGGCGAAGGAATGCATCATGATTTGTCTTGAAAACAAGGAGTACCGAGATGGTCTGAGGTTTGCCGGTTAGCGCTCATCCATCATCTGGCCTGGAATTACTATTGACTTGTCTCCTCTCTTTTGGATAGTGCTCTACACGCTTACTTGCGCCGCATTTGCAGCTCTATTCCTTTTACGCTTTGCCCGATTTTTCCCTCAAGAGATTCAAATGGAAGAAACAATGTCGATGGTGGCTGCTCTTGCAGACATCCTCAGCCAAGGTACGTCCTCGGCCTCTTAGATCCACTACTCCATGCTTACTGAAGTCTCCCATCTAGTCCCAGCCGTGCAGTTTGCCGTCTGTTTGCGCAAAATGCTGGCCTCCACTGAGCAACGTCTCACCGAGCAACGAAAAGCTCAGTCTTCCTATCCACAAGTGTATCCCGAACACAGAGGCACCTCAGAGCAGACAAGTCCAATGCTGTCATCGCATCCAGACATCAAAATCTTGCCTACGGACTTGAAAGGAATGCGCTCCAATCTCCCCAATGCACAACCATTCCTTCCTTTGCCGGTGTCAACCTCCGCAGTCACAACACCTTTACCAGCTCCACCTGGTGGCGCATTTGGGCAAGTCACTGGCTTAGAACAGCAGATCGCCTCACTCTCTGCGCACAGCACTTCTATGGCAAGGTCCTCGTTGAGCGAGGGCAACCCTTCTTCTGTTGAGGCACTTGGTCATCAACCAACGGAATACGGAGACTGGTCCTTTACGGGTACCGCCTTAGAGTCTATGCTCCAGGGTATCCTAGACGAGGGGACAAACCCGGCCTGGTCAGTCTGGCCCGCTAATTCGGTCAGTGTTTATCTGGATCAATGGCTTCTTGTTCCTGACATACTTCAATAGTTCGTGTTGGATTCTGGCACTCAACCGACAATTCCAAGTGAACTAAGCAGCAGCTTCGCATGGAGTTCGGCGTCGTGAAAGACTTTTCATTTATGAGCTAACTTGCGACGTGATTATACCCATCGCCTATTCTAATGTTATCGGTGTACTTGGTTCGTTACTACTCTATATAATCTGTCCAACTCTCTGTTTCTTTGTGCGCCTTGTCTATACCGTGCGACTATTCCCCACAGTGGATGTAGTCGACTTCTATTTCTTTGCGGGCAAGAGCTTTCAGCCGCTTGCTCGGTGATCATGAGAACATTGTGCTCGGGTTTTTGCGACTGGATGAGATGTAGGTCGGCAAAAACTGAGAGCGGAGCTTAACGACATGTGTAAGGATGCATCAAGGAGCTGTATGCTTGAGTCCAAGTATGGTATACTCTTTGGTCCCAAGACCCGTCTTGGCGCACTAACCACAAACCAGGCTTGATAGAGGCTCCGATAAGAAGTGGAGTAATCGAGGCAACCATATCGATCGCATCGTTAAGGGATATATTGCAAGGCATGTCTCGTTTCACGTAGATGAAGTCAGAGCAAGGGCGGTAAGCAGGGGTCTCGGTTGATCCGCGGAAAATTGAAACGTTTCGGATTTCAAGAGGGACCATGTTGTAACGGATTCAGTATGAAATGAAAATCACCAAAGATAGTAACCGGTGTTCTTGGGCATAGGGGGAGAGGAGGATAGCAAAGCTGGAGGAGTATGACTCCGTCTTTGATCCTTCTTCAGCCGAGTTCCATCTGCAATGAAAGATCTTAGAAGCGACCCTGTGTTTCCATGCACGGAACTCCTTGAGTGAGAAAGGCAATATTGCGTAATTGTAGTTGGGCCTCATCATCCATTGAGAGAAGTGATACGTGAATGCTATATGGTAGGCCCACTTTTGTGGCATCTCGATTAGAAGAGAATGCCACCCTTGATCGAGATACCCCTGAGAGAAAGTGAGCTCGTGTAGTTGGGTTCAGTGAGTAAATGAGCTTCATGGGTAATATGTTGTCCAGAGGTATGGATGCTGCCACCGTTGCACTTGATGACGTGTATGCAAATCACGTGTCTCTTCCATGATTATGAAGTCTGTATAATGCATAGAATAAGGAAGTGTGTGTCAGGGGGCGTAGATAGCTTCTGTATGTCGGGCGTCTAGCTGATGATCGAGGTGCACAAAAACAGCAACGTCACGTGATGGGCTACAGCGGCTGCATCAAATGTACAGTTTTATTCATTAACGCAATCGAAAACATCCCCTTCGATCCCCAGACAACCGCCATCGACATTCCTCATAATCATGGTATGTCTACCCTCTATCAACTGATATCACACTCTGATTTAATGTCCTTTAGCCCCCGAAAGGAAAGAAAGTTCAAAGAGAAGAGGCCGCCGTTCAATTGGGTCCTCAAGTCGCTGAGGGTGAACTTGTATTCGGAGTTGCCCACCTCTACGCCTCCTTCAACGATACATTCGTTCATGTAACCGATCTCTCCGGAAAGGAAACCATCTCTCGCGTCACAGGTTTGTCCATCACAATCACCGGCGATGTTGTCAGGGTCCTCAACTGGTGTTTACTACAGGTGGTATGAAAGTGAAGGCTGATCGAGACGAGTCGTCGCCATACGCGGCGATGTTGGCAGCTCAGGATGTTGCTGTGAGGTGTAAAGAAATTGGAATAACTGCTCTCCATGTCAAGCTGCGTGCTACCGGTGGAACAGGAACAAAAACACCAGGGCCGGGTGCTCAAAGTGCTCTCCGAGCACTTGCTCGTGCTGGAATGAGGATAGGAAGAATCGAGGATGTCACTCCGGTTCCCACTGATTGCACTAGGAGAAAGGTATGTCCTTCAAATGTTTTTTACTTTGATTATGTCTGATGAACTGTTTCATTTTAGGGTGGTCGTCGTGGTCGTCGTTTGTAGACTTGTTTAAATTTGTTTTTGTACCTGGATATGTGTTATCTTCAACTGTCGCTGTGATGACACGCAGCAAAGCGGTTTCTTGCGAGCTGCTTTGTCCCGTGGTCCACATAATCTTACTGAGTGCTGCGATTCCCATTAGTCGTTTGAAGCAAGCCGAAATGCCCATCCTTGAGACCCTAATACCATTGAATTCAATACTCAACACAACATATCAAAATACAAGGGAATCGAGAAGGCTGATAGATTTGTCAGGCAGATCAGTGTCGCATTGAGAATACAAATTGATTAGACGATTGACGGGAATCTTTGATTCTGATAGCATAGAAGCATATCCCTGGATTACTATAGGCCGTCTCAAGACAAACAATTGACTGCGTTGATTGAGATCTGAGTAAGGAAGTTGAGGGTATACCTCGGGTGCAATTGCGTAGCTCGGTGATTGCGTAGCTCGGTGGCAATTGCTTTTCGGGTGCAATTGCGTAGCTCGGTGGCAATTGCTTTCTGAGGGACTAGACTACCACCAATATACTATGACCCCAAATTCTCAATAACGTCTCTCTTGGTATATCGGTAGAACACAACCCTGTCATTGATTCAGTTATCTGATCAACGCCCGGTTGAGAGCTGGGTTCGACTCCCAGAGGGAGAGCTTCATTTTTGGTTCACCTGTCAATGAAAGCCAAGGTCGACGGTATCGTAACTTTTAGCTCCCCCCTTCGGGATCTTTAAGGCTGGTGCGCTTTTTGACCTTCTGCCCGGCATTCACAATCAGACCAATAGGAATCGTCCTAGGTGCTGATTTTCCGGCATCAGACGTTGACTGCGAGATCAACCAGATTAATTATGGGAGTCTAGAAAGCTTAAAAAAGGTAATTCTAGTCATTTATCGTAGATGCATCCCATGGGTTTTTGTGTGGGTGTTGACTGAATTCACCGTAGAAGCTTGATTATGCAATCATGTCAATTTCGACTTAGGAGTACTTTTTCAAACCTGGATCCTTCTTCTTGGCCGCCCAAATTCGACATCGTCGTTCTCCGGTATTGGTTTCAGCAAGATCACACATCACTTGAAAGGTTCTCTCAATTGTTAGCTTCCAACCGACTTTCTGTGGTTCACATCAAAACTTTGGACTCGTTTTGCAGGCGCCACCTACTCGGTCCTCTTCCATGACATCCCATATGATTGATGCTTTTGTTCGTCGAGCCGAACGATTGGAAAACTGCAGTTCGGGACAGAACGGGTCGACACCTCTTACTGTTTCATCTGATGATGTGGATAGTGGCTTTGTTAGCCGTAACAGCAACGCAGACGATTCACCATGGACTTATTCCGAGGAATGCACATTCTGCCGAATCATTTCTGGGGAAGGCAATGCATTCAAAGTATATGAGGATGATAGTATCTTATGTATCCTTGGTGAGCTAGTGTATGGGGTCAATAATGATATAGGGGGTTTACTCAACTTGCAGATAATTCTTTCCTTGGCAGATATTCTGCCGATTAGGCCTGGACATGTATTAGTGATACCAAAACAACATGTCTCTAGGCTCTCAGATATGGATGATGAATTGGCCGGAAAAGTTGGGAAGCTCGTTAGCAAGGTTGCGAAAGCCTTGACAGTGGGTGGGTAGCCTGATGCTGGGTCCGCATGGTCCGAGCGGACCGGTTGTATGTTGTGTGGAGAACGGATGTATTAACCTTGATTGTTTAGCACTTGATAATACCGCGTTGAACGTGGTTTGTAACCAGGAATATGCTCAGGCAGGTGCATTCTCAGCATGTTGAGGGTTATGTGAGCTTCTGGCTGACCTTTGTGCTTCATCTCTCGATAATGTCTATCTTGGATAGGCTGTCCCTCATGTCCACTATCATATTGTACCAGCACCAAAGTTTTCTGGTCCATCAGATTCCAACGCTTTGGCTAACTTCTCTGAAGTCCCCTCGTACAACGCTATGCTTCGAGCAGAGTTCCATTTACGGGAGGAGTTGGATGGTGATGATGCCCGTGTTTTGCTCGAGAAGATCCGGTCGAGACTTTGAATATCCAGGATGTTGGGCGGCAGTTTGTCGGTGAGTTGATACTTTACGGGTGCATTGGTCATTAGCGTCTGAATAGGTGTCTTTCCTGACAACGCAGATCTCACTGAACAGATCTCGGGAGTTATTTATGACACACATGAATTATAGTATTGTCTCAAGCAGAGTAGATCTCATGCTTGCGCAAGTAGATGACTGGCGTGGTCTGTATGTGTGCAAAGGGAATAGGAATGGGAAATACTATTGAAAAAGGCATCGACCCGTAACATGAAAAACAACCTAGGAATCAACCTCCATTGTATCGTCGGCGGCACTCGCACTAGCGGCACTGGGAGTGGTGGTGGTCTCGGTTCCTTCACGAGAAACTTCAAGAGACGATGTTCCGTTTGCGACTTTGCCGTTGGCTTTTGGTTTGGAACGTTTTGCTTTTGAAGCTGGTGTTGGAGATGCGGAGGCTGAAACCGAAGCACTACCCTGATTCTCGTCTCCATTGAGTTTGAACATGCCAAACTCTCCACTCCCGTTGGGATTTGCCACGGGAGGAACAGAGGTATTAGCCGAAGCGGTCTGATTCACCGCGGCGTTATTAGACTTTGCTTTTGGCTGAGGTCCTTTTTGAAAGTCAAGCAACTGTTGCTGTTGTTCCAGCTCAACTTTTTTTGTTTGTCGTTTTTGTAAAGCGGTAGCCGTTGGAATGGCTTGAGGGACTATTTCCTGTAAAAAGGCAAGTTCTTCTGCGCGTTTGATTGCCGAAGCTTGGGGATTGAAAGGTTAGACAGGGACAAAAGGACACTCAAGTACAAGAAGCATTTACCCAAGTCCTTATGTTGCACCGTTAGACGCCCATCTCGTTGTGCCTGCTGATGACCTGCACGGGCAAGTCGTTTGATGAATTCTTCCTATTTGATTGGTAGAGAATGTTTTGGTTCTCGAGTGAACTTTTTTTTTTTTGCAATAGACGTACGGTGGCAACGGAGATTAGAAAAACAGCCTCTTTAGACACTGCTTGAAGGTCCTTGTCGGCTTTGATGATCTTTTGCACGCGTGCCACTGGGAGGAGAGTGGTACCAGGAGTGCGAGTTTCTGGAGTTTCATCGGGTGGATCGTCCTTTGTGACGGTGCGAGTGGAAGTTGTCCTTGGACGTTTGTGAGGAGCATTTGTATCCAAAGGAGTGTCATCTTGAGAGACTTGTGGATCGTCTGATACGACTGGGTCTGAAGATGGGGATTTATCTGTGTGTGGTCTCGAGCGCTTGTTGTAAGGAAAAGGCAGACCTGGAAGTTGAGGAGTTGAACTCATCGTGGTTGCGGGTTGAGAGAAAATTAAGGAGGACCATTCACCAAGTTTCAGGGTAAAAAGAGACCGAAAGGGCAAATTAAGACAGAATTGTGGCTGACAGCAAACAATCGAGATCAGTCCAATTTGTGATTCGCCTTTTGGTTCGTCTTTTCTCCCTTGAACACTCATCACCACATGTACGACCAAAGGGACGACGATGGCGATAATGATGACATGGTCACCTTCTTTGTTAGGGCCTTGTATGACTATCAATCAGCAGACGCTTCTTCTCTCTCCTTCAGAAGAGGTGCGCTCATAGAGGTTCTAACTCAACTCGAAAGCGGATGGTGGGATGGGCTCTTGGATGGAGAGAGAGGCTGGTTCCCATCAAATTACGTGGTTCAAGTCTCAGATCAAGAGGTTGAGCAAGAACTTGCCACAAGAATCACAAATCACAACGACGACATGAGCCAGCAAACCCATTGGAATGAAGACGGTCTCGAATACAATCAATCAGATCAATCCGTTGCTCGTGCAGATGATTATTGGATGCCACAGGTCACCGCTGGCGGACAGGTGCGTGTCTTTCCTTTTCTGCGTGGAACCTTGACCTCACCACAACAAAATAGATCTTTTACATGAACACTCGCACTGGTCAAGTCTCCAGCGAAATTCCACAAACCGTTGATCCTCTCGAGGAGTACGTTCAACCATCACCGTCATCATCTCAACCGACGCAGCATCCTCCTCCTCAATCCAACAACAACAACTTTGTTCGTGCAAGATCGGACACTCGTGATACCTATTCCTCTACCGTCTCTGGCTTCTCAGAAGCCACAACCGCACCACCATCCGCTGGCTTTGGCCTCATCACTCGTTCTGATCAAATACCGGAACCATGGGTCAAACGTCTAGCCGACGACGGTCTATCGTACTTTTATGTAAATAAGGAGACTGGTGCCGTACGATGGTCTCCACCATCACCTATTGACCTAAAGGAGCCCCAAAAGTTACCTGTGGAGGCTCTGGAACTCGATGATACCGAATGGACACTCAACGATGCTGCTGATTGGGGTCTCGATAATGCATCCTCAACCCACGGTACCGTAATTGTCACCAACGATACTCGACCCTCGCCAAGCCTCAAGGAAACCATCGCCTCCCAAACATCTTCCAAGCCTCCAGAACGGTACCGAACACACCTTTCAGCTCCCTCAGATGACGTTCGTCGTGCCTCAGTATACTCGGATGATTCTGAAGTAAATCCGTTCGGAAGAAGTTCACCTCCTTTACGAAGTCCTCCGGCTACACGTCCCAACGGAAATCATCCTACAGAACCTCTACATTCACAGACACCCGGAACCGGTGAAGGGTCTCAACCGATACCTCAAGTGACCGTTCGACGAACAAAATCGACTACTGCAGTTGCTGCACCTCCACCCATTTCGGCTGAAAGTCTTGCTAGGAGACTTCAAGCCCGATTATTGCCGCCACCCCCGGAAACGGTCGATTCTCTCTCAAGTATTGCTCGGGAGGCTATTAGTGCTGTTGTTGAGGCTGTAGGGCAGCAGCCCGCTGACTCTAATGATCCCTCGGCCGAACAACCCACCATAATGGCTGTCCGTGTGGCAGCTGTAGTGACAGCTGTCCGGAACTTGCTATACGTCTCTGGAACGTTATCGACACCCGTGTCAAGCCTCTACCTCTCCCGACACTCTATCGATGATGTTATAGAGTCTGGGAGAACCCCCTTGATGGAGTTGAAACCTTTTCAACGTAAAGTGACGGCTACATTGTCCAAACTGGTACTCAGTGCTCGTGCAGCTGCATCTAATCCGGATTGGCCGTACGACGACGCTGCGACTCGGGTGGACAATGATGCAAGTGAACTGGAGAGAGCAGTGATGAGCTTTGTCATGGAAGTTGGAAGAATGGAGGTGTTAGGGAGTATGGTGAATGAGAAACGCTTAAGAGGTGTTTTGATCAGTGCGGATGGATCTAATGGTGTGGGTATGGGTGTCTATGGTGCTGGTTTTGCAGGCATGTGGAAGGGAGCTGGATTTGTCAGGCCGGAAGATGGAGATCATGGTCCACAGTGGACATTGGGCTCGGATATGTTAAGAGAGTTGAGTGGGTTGGAGGCACTAGCTGAGGAGAGCTTGGCACTGCTTTTGGAGAACACATCAGGTAGGCAAACCTTTTATCATGCTGGTTGTTTCCGAAATAACTGAATGGTTTGCCTACAGTTGAGAAAGAGGCACTTATACCTCTTGTTCGAATGGCGCTTGTCAACTTGACCGCTTACTTGGCCGCTGTAGAAGACTGCGATATT